GCTGTAACAATTAGGCTGCTGATGGTCTTTAATATTACTTTTTCATGATCAAAGTGCACTGCTGAATCCCAGGGTATGCTCAAGGCTTGCCCAAGCATATCGGTTCTCAGAACATTCAAGTTGTTAATTTTATTAAGTTTCTGGGGTTTGTTCCAAATACAACATTGCTTGGCATTACAATACGAGCTAAAGAGGTAGTATGTTATGTTTTCCATTTCATATCTTTAAGCAGCAGGGATTTTTTTTTTCATCACTTCTCCTTGGGCTAGGGAACACCCTTGATTTCCAATCAGAACAGTTAGTGCTGGGCCAGATGAGATTTTTAGACTCTTGGGTACGGTCTTGTGAGAGTTGATTTTAATGCACAGGTCATACAAAAAGGGAAAAGATTTTTTAATTAAAAAAAAAAAAATCCAAGTAAACCCCACAAACCTTTAAGGGTATTTTAATTTTTTGTTTTAGGATGGAGTTTAATTTACTTCCTGCTTTCAGCTTAGTACCTTTTGAAATTGCCTCACCTTGGTCTCTGCTTTCCTTCTTACAATTATCACTCAGTTTTTATTGGAAAAGACACTGGCAGGAATTTGAATCATGTTCTATTGCTTTGGAAACAAGAGCTAATATAGCGGAGCTTTGCATGACTTCAGGTGAAATGTGTGTAGATGAAGGTTTTCTGCTTGTATACGGTTTCATTTCAGGAAGTTGTATGTTCTCAGGCAAACTTGTTACTTCTCTTAGCTTGAGGTGGGGAGGTCACTGATACTCGGTTGGTAAAGCTTGCCATGCTGCTTTGTTAGTCTGTTGTAGCAGAGAGTGAGACTTACTATGTGTGGTGGGAACAGGCAGAGTTTGTGTAGCAACAGCTCCCCAAGCCAATCTAGAGATGTTAGATGAAGTGGAAGCATTTGTAGCGCTTCCTCTGCTTTTATTTTTTATATGCTCTTTCCTTGCCCTGCTTCTGAACTGCAGTTGTTAAGAAGGTGTCCTGAAGCTTTCACTCTGGTTTGGGCAATAGAACTCGGTTAAACCAAGCCTTTTCTGTTTAATAGATCAGTTTATCTGCCAGGAAATGGTTCTGTAGTTTGTCCCCTCTACCTCTCTGTAGGCAGTGCCAGCAGTTTGTTCCCTCTACCTCTCAGCAGTGCCAGCTTTACAGTGTAGCTAAGTAAAATGTCTGAATTTCTGTGCACAGAGTTTTCAGGAAGACTTAGGAGACAGTGAACAAACTTTATTTGCAGTTACTGCAGTTTGCCAACATCCATTTTGATTCACAAGGCTACAGCAGTGGGAGTTCTGGAAAGCTGCAGCACACAGCACAGAGTAACTCATGCTGTACTATGGGCTGCTGAATGGCATGCGGTTAACGTTAGTGCATTTCCTGTACTGAGATGGAGGGGGTTGGACAGCTAATGCAGATGTAGCCTTGCAAGTAACCTTGCACTATAAAGAAAGAGAGGTTAAGAATTAATGCAAGTTAGAAAAGCCGGTACTGAGGAACTGGATTCTGGTCCCACCTTCCAGGTATTTAAGACATTTGGAGGCACTGGATAATAGAAATACAGAAGAAAGGGATCTTTAAATGTCTTGCCCACTACTTTGTGTTTTGGAACAGAGGAAAAGCAGTCATTTACTTAAAGTTTCATTTGCTAGGGCAATTGGGGCAATTCCATCTCCAGCCTAATTGTCAGATTTGTTTAACAATCTGGTAGTGAGCAGCATCCCTGCTTTGGTAAATCCAACTTACAGTAACAGCAGTTAATTTGCAGGGAAGAAATACACAGTACCTCTTTAAAAGGCAGGTTCTTAAACACAGAGGCCTTTTGTGCTGCTGAGTAACTCGACTCGCTGTTTCTGACTAGTCCCTGAATTTAGCTTTATGGTATTTTATATCCCGTAATCTTGTTTGTATTTGGTTTTTAAATGCTGTCTTATCCACAGGCAAAAAAACGATACTGTGCTGCTCAGCTTGCAGGTAGGCTGAGGACAGGTAACTGAGGACACTGATCTGTGATCACACAACAGAATATGGCACATACAGGATATGAGCATTCCGCTTTCCAAAGAATAAGCTCACTGAAGAGTTACATGTGGCGTTTCTAGTGCTTATATGAAGAAAAGTAGAACCTTTACTTTGTTTGGTCAGTATTAAGGCCGTCATTTGGTAGCTTATTTTGCTTAAGAATGTGGAGTATCATCATTTGAAATCCTTTGCTCTTTTGATTTTGTAAAACCAGGTGTGCAAATGTTGAACTTATAAGTAGAATATTTGTGGGTTGGTTTTTTTTTTCAACTGAATGTCCAAGAATGATGCTTTTGCAAGGTTTCAGTTTTATCTGTGTTGTTGCTGTTCTCGTAAGGCAAGTGAAGAAATGGGGTATATGCTGAGCACTCATTGAATGACGCTTGAATGCTCTGCATTTTTCTGCTTTGGAGAGGCATAGTATAGTACATTTCAAAAGAAGTCATCAAGCAGTGAGATGTAACCGCATGTGATAGATGCATGCTACACAGCTAGAAAGAAAGCTGTTACAGATGCAGGTGCTATAAAGCAGTCACCAGTCTGTAAAAGTGACATTGATATGAAATAGTTACCCCTTCTGGGTGCCATGTGATGAGGGAGAATATGTACTGTACATGAGGGAGTTATGCAGATTTGCTGTGGTGCATTTTCAGCAACATACAGTGAAACTAGCCTCTAAGACTAGCTTTTTAGTGTAGCATCAGTATGGAATGCTGTACTGTTTCAGTAGTGTTTAACTATAGTTTTTGGTAGATGAACTAGGTACTTGGGTCTGCTCTTGTAACTAGTGTACCTTTCATTGATTTCCGTATGGATCACTAAGACACATACAGGATTGAAGACGAGACTTTTTGCTTTTTAGGAAGTGCAGTAGGTAGGTATACATCCAGAAAAAAGTCAAACAATTAGTTGTTCCTTGTATTTGTTCTTAGCAATAGAAGAATTTATGTCAAGAATCTCAAAACTTTAGTGTAATTGCATGGGAGAGGAGGGAGGAGGAGAGAATATGACATTGATTCTGTTGCTTTCATTATTGAAAGCAAATAACTATTCTGCAAATAACCAAAACAAAGTTCTAAAACATCAAGTTGCCATTTTGCAGGTGGACTGTGGTCCGTGAGATGAGCAGAGTTAGTGCTCTCCCTGTCTAGTTTCTACTTTCCACTGTTACGAGGAGATACTAGACAACTTCACAGTACCCCAGAGAAAAATGCTGTACAGTTTAGACCTGCTTGTTGTTTTGACTGTACCTGTCCTTTGCTGATGTTCTGCCAAGCTTTGCAAGCTAGTGGAGTAAGCTGGATGAGGCCTGAACAGTAGTTAGGAAAGAAGATAAGTAGCACATGAAGCTGTTGTTCATTCTTTCTGACCGGGAAGATTAGGAAGGTCAAGATATATTCTTCATATCCTGCTCTGAGCTGTCACTATGAAATAATTCTAGCCTAGTAACAGCAGTGTCTCAGATGTGTTGGAAAACTGACACTGGCTGAGATAGTCTTACAGGCATCATGGGATACAAAGCTGTAATGGTGTACAAAGCTTAGTGGTGTAAGACAACAGCAAAAGAGAGTGGGGATTGGTAAATTAAACCACTATACAGCAGCTTTGATAGGCCAAGATTTTAACCCATTTGTTTTCTGTTAACTTCTTTCTCTTCCATACTTTATAGTTCATGTTTAACGTTTAATTATTTAATTTCTGCCTCTACTCTGTGTTTGAATCACTGTAATGAATTTTCAATGTTCAGTTGTTTGTTTCAGTTAAAGGATATGAATGCTACCACTGCAGAGCCAAGATAAATTTTTGACAAACTGCATCAGTTGGGTAAGTGGAGGTTTGTTAGCCATCTAAAAATGTCAACTCTGTTGCAGTGTCAGATATGGTATGTTATTGCTGTATGCCACTTTGTTGTTGGACAAAATTAGGCGATCATATAACCTTGCCTATTTTGTGTCAAGATTTTATGTCTTTGTTCCATAAATGTATCTTGAAGGGGGCTCATTTAACCACATTTTAATTATCCTCATTAAGCTAATTTTGCCTTTGATGAAGATAACTTATCTTTCCCTTCAGTACTAACAAATCTAAATAGCAGGAAGTTACTAATTAGACCTTAATGCAATGGGCTTGCAGACTTGTAAAGCTCAAACAAGATTTTTCTGGCTTTAAGATTTGGGTTGGTTTGGGGTTCTTTTTATTTGGTTGGGTTTTTTTTCCTTGCAACTGAAAAAATGAAAATTTTAGTGTTCTTACTTCTGAAAGCTGGAGATCTCTGTGTAAGCATGATTTCAAGAGCTGGTTCTTTAGAGAGAATGGCACACCAGTAACTTTCCTTATTCCAAATCCAATTAATGTTTCAATATATTCACCCCCCAAATCAAACCCCCAAACCATAAAAGGCCTAATTTTGTTTTTTCTGAGGATACATTGAGAACACTTACCCCCCCCAATTGCTGAACACAGAGTTCTTCAGCAAATCAGACCACATATAGACGTGCTCAGATATTCCAAAATACATGCAAGTCTTTAAGCACTTGCTTTTGAGCCCTTTAGCCTTCCTGCTAAGAAAAGAATATTGCTCAAAATAGTCTTTTCTTTATGATGCAGGCTCATTGCATGTACTTTCACATTTGTGGTTTCTGCTTGCTTTCCTGGTTCACCAGCAGTTCATTGGGGTGTCACTGCTTTTTGCTTTCTCCTGGCAGCACAGCTGAGACAGCTGCAGAGAAACAAATTCAGAGTCAGGTTCTGTTCAATGCTCAGCCCTTTCACGCTCACAATCACCAGCTTTGCAAAGCATGTCAAATTACAGCTAAAGGAGTGCTGAGCTCATCAGTACAGAGCAGCAGTTAAACACTTGGTTAACGAGCCTTTTTTTCTTTTTTTCTTTAATGTTCCAGAAACATAAGCAGACAAGAGAAATGACTCTAAAGCTTTAGGTGTTATCTGACTTAACTTGCTTGAATAAAATGATTTATCTAGTTTAGGTACTGTGTGTCTGGTGCCAAACGACTTCTGTCCTTATGTTTATCACATGCCAAATTTTGTTCTGTGTAGGGTTCCTCTTACTCCTTCTTCTATGGGCTACTCCCTTGGTACAGATGCCCACACACTGCACAGTACCAGAAAACCTAATACGAGTTTGTACAGTCTTGTCCCTGCTGGATTCTCCCCTTGAAGGAACTTTTGCCACTAGGGATGCGGTACCTGTTGTACAGTCATTTTCACAAACATGATCTCTGATACTAGACATCCAGTATGCAAGATCTTATTTTAGTTCCCCTGCATGTAGTAGAGAGCTATTTATACTAGCTTAATTTTGCATGTGACACTTAAAGTAATGGGATATAAAACATTAGAGCTCTTTAAATTCCCGTTCTTAGGCTGGCTCTCATCTGTGCCATTAGTGCAAGTAACAAAGTGCAGTCATAGTGAGGAGAAAGAGCACAGGTAGCAGAGAAGCTGTTGGTTTGAGTATCTTCTTCACGAGCTTCACAGATGAAGTTATTTTTTCTATAAAACACTAGTCAAAATGCACATCTGCAGGCTTAGTTCTTTTCTAGTCTATTTAGAAAAAGCTGAAATTGGAAGGGATTAAAAAAAGTAGCTACAGCCCTTCCAGGAAAGGTCATCTAAGCATAAGCAAAGCTTAATTTGACATGCTATAGTTTCTTGAAGACAGCTGTGGGGTTTGATTTCTTTTCTAGGTTAAAACCATACCTTTTCTGTTGTAGATTCACATAGATTTTTATCTCCAAGATACCTTCTGCACACTACTCTCCTGCCATGTGTGTGACCTGTAATACCTACTTTGCATAAGCAAACTGACTGACGAGTTACGGTCCATTTATGCCTCAGTGCAGAAAATTGTGGATGCTTGGATGCTGCCATACTGTACAGCTTGAGTGGGAGTATACTAGATGCTAAGTATACGTGATGTGTTTTGTACTGTCAAGAAAAGGAGAGGGAGCAGTGCTTAAGAAGTACATTGTTCTTAATTCTAAATGAATAAAAACTTGTGGGGTTGACTTGGCAGTTAACTTACTGCTGCTGTCGTTGGCAGGTTACAGCTGTTGGAGGCAGTGGGAAAAATGTGTTGGCAAATGGAATAGCCTCATTTATCTTTGACAAAAGATAGTTTTGATACTGTTCTGTACTCTGACAAATGCAGGTTTGTTTGCATAACCTTATTTGAGCTCGGGGAGATTAAGTAATCATAAAAGTAAATTTCTTCTGTATTGGAATAGTGCTTTAAACTTAGGTTTAAATACAGTAGTTTCTGTATGATAGAGATGTCATAAACCCAGCTTGTAATGAAACTATTTAAGGCTCCTAGATTAGTTAGAAGTGTAACAACACCAACAAAAAGCCTTCTATATGATTATTTTCAACCTCCCAAATTGCAGCCTGGAAAAGGCGAACTGCATGACCATGTGCAGCAGCAGTGGGAACAGCAGTTCATCTTCCTGAGATGGTGGCACCACTGTTGCCACTTCTATACTTGTACTAGTAAGCTGAGGCAGAAGGTGTGTGGGATTTTCTGTGGAAGTCCTGTCCCATTCCCATACAGTGGGCAAAATGATTCATTCCTGAAAACTCCGGTCTTGGCTTGATAGCCAAGGTCTATTTTATTTCTTGTTCTAGTTGATAATTAACTGAAACTGCAACACAGAGTGCTTAAGGAGTTGATTTCTTTATACAATTCCTGCAACGATGATCACTGTATTTGGTCACATCCTGCTAAGCTTTTCAACTGTGGTGAATCTATTAAAGGAATCTTTCAAGCATGCCATTCCTGTTGTGACACTTTGTGGCCATGGAAAACTGACGCTGTCAGGTAGCGGTTTATGTATCTTGCAATTGAACTGAGGGACACTTTGGTAATGTTTTCATTTTCATTTTTATGTTTCATTAGTAAAATCTTGTAGTTTTACTGTTTTGGAGAATAATAATTTTATAGATACATGAATTCTTTTGGTGTAAAAGAATCACAATACAAGATCTTTGCCTTTGGTCTTGGGGAAGAAAGATAAAATGGAGAAGTGCATTTAAAAAACTTTTTAAAAGTTTTCCTTTTTATTCTTGGAACACAATTTGATTTCTCTACCCACCCACACCCCCCGAACTTCCTGCTCTTCAGAAATAACCTTCCAACATATAATTGTTATTGTCCTTACATCACTTCAAAAATCTCTGTATCTGACACTAGCATGGGCCTGGAATTCTTTTGTTCTGACCTAAGATAAAAGTCTTAGTGCAGGACAGTGAGAAATATATTAAACAATTTAGAGGTTCAAAAACTGTACTGTTATTTTAAGCTTCTGATTTTTAACAAAACAACATTCAAGGGAAGGTCTGTCTTATGTGGTTGGACACAAAGGTGGTTCAGGTCTATGCTGAGGAGGGTAAGTGTGAGTCTGGTTAAAGTCGGTCTCCTTCGGGCGCCTCGGGGTGGTTATTTGAATGTGCTTTGTGTTTATTCATATTTAATTGCCATTGGTGATTTTCTTCTTTGACGGAGGATTCACGCATTAGAATGCCACGAATAATAAAGCAGTGCCTTTACTTTGGCATGCCAGGTCTTGCAGAACTTCAGCTGTTTGTCTCTTGTTCCTTGTGGCTGTAAATGGGGCAGATCAACACTAGCCTTGGCAGCAGGATTAATTTTTAAAGCTACAAATACAAATGAGGTGTGTGTCTCCTGCAGGCTGTCAGTGCACTTTGGTGCTCAGCTGCCCTTCTTGGTTTCTCTGTTAAGGAAAAAAAAACAACCAAACAATCAAAATCTAAACAACCTCCCTGTTTATATTCCTAGCATTTCCTATTGTTTAGTTCTAGAAAATAATTATTACGATTATTCTCTGCAATCTTAGGTCCATGATCCCTATCTTATTCTGCTGCTCTTTTTATTATCAGATCAGAAAGTGCAGATTTTCTAGTACAAGCAGAGAAGGCACCAGCCTCTTAAAAGGTAGTTTGAAGTTTGCATTTCATTCCTTTATCAAAAGTACTGTAACTATTTCATATGAGGGCTTCCTCTATTTAAGTTTGGTTATGGCATGAAATTATTATAAAACCAGGGCCCTGAGTCAATTTACTGAGAGTAGCCTCAGTGACTGACAGCAAAATAAGCAAGTGCTGAAAAGGAGCAGATTTTTTTTGGTATGAGCGGGTTGTCAGCCTTCCTACTGAAGTAGCAATCTGAAACCAGGAGGGTTATTCTAGCTGGTTATTTCACAAATAAATTTTGATCAGCTGAACCTGATGACTGCTGGCATTTAAGACACATGGGCATTCAGAACTTCTTGAAAATATTCAGAGAGGGTAATCCCTCCTACCCAGATATATGCAAATACTGTCATAGTCCATTTCAGAGTCCAAGTGCTCTTCTGTGCTATGTGCAAGCTTTAAAATGTCCTATAAAGCCTCCAGCTGAAATGTTCATTAGCCGCTTAATTCAGATGCTTTCAAGGATTCTGTGGAATACCAGCTGTTCTAGATCTGACTCTCTGAACACAACAAGCAGCCATCATTCCCCTGAAATTGTATCTATAGCCATATTTCAGATGGTAAAATACTGTATTTGTGAAAAAGTTGACTTTTGTGCTTCTGATGAAAGGTAAGATACCGAATTAAGCATCTAACAGTTGCTAGTCAGGTCTCATTTCATCTGTATTAGGTTATTAGGGAAATATTCAGTCGTATCTTCTTCTACACTGCACTTTCTTATTTGTTTTCTACCTGTGTGTAAACACTAAGCTGAAGACTTGCTGATGCTTAAAGGAACATGTGCTCTTTTCATGTAGCTAGTGCCAGGCCTAGTGCTCATCTGGCCACAGGATTTTGGCCAATTCTTGTTCTGTGGCAGTTGATTTGGGATGTATTGTTGTCTTGTGCCAGGGACAGCTCAAGAGATGTAGGAGGAGCAGGTGGCTGGGAGAGGCTGTTAAAACAGAAGTGGGAGAGAAAGAAGGCAGGTTGGTTTGCAGTGTTTAGCACTTGACAGAAATCTTCCAGATATTTGCAGTTGTTTCTTGCTTATGTTTGTTGTATTCTACAACCTGGAGTAATACATAAGTAGAAAGAGCTGTGCAAAATTATCACTGCTCCTCTGGAATCGTCACTGCCTCCTTCCCTAAGGCCCCCTACCACTGTATGAGAGTAATTTGTTTTGTGTTATTCTGTGAAGGGCCATAAGCTGAAGAAGCTACATGCTCATACTTCCTCAGAGGAGCTTCTTGTTTAGGTGCAGAGTGTTACTAGTTGGAGAGCTAGGGTTTTGACATAAAATGTCTTTAAGGACACACAGCTGTGGACAGTGCGACTTTGTTCTTCAGTGGCGTTCCAGGACCTTTCAGTTCTCTTTACCATATCATCTTTGTGGTGTGTCTTCCATTTTTCTTTCCAAAGAAATTAAATAATTTGTATTAGGAAGTTAACAGCTGGGAAACTGCTAAATTAAGTGTTCTGAAGTGTGATAGTTTGTTTTGATTACCTGCCTTCATTTGATCATCCTAGCATGGGTTGTGACCTTTACAGTTTGCTTTGCTCTTATCTTACTGTTTATATTTCTTTGAACTTATGTTTTTGGTGATACTGGGGTTGCCAGTAAATTCTGTGACATTGCAGTATTTAAAATACTGTATGTGCATATATAAAATAATTTTTAAGATTATAATTGGTGAAGCATATGACAGCAGAAGTTTGTTTTATATGTTAAGCTTATAAGAAGAAATGCTTTTAGTTAATGAATAATTGGGACAAAATAGAAATCACTGAATTCTGTCATTTAGCAGGAGAGAAAATGGCAAGAAACCCCATGCAAAATTTAGGAACTACTCTGGTGTGCTAAATCATTATTCTTTATTCAGAAGAGTAACAGCTTATGTAATTAGAAATTGATTGAAGTGCTGCCTCTTAGAGACCTTCTAATGTTATAAAACTCATGTTCTTGTTAGGAGAGAATGTGGACTGACTCACAATTTATATACAGTGGATTCACTATTGCCAGGGACATGTATAAGGCTGTAATTCCTGATTATAGAAGAATCTGGATAGTATACATCCTGTATGTTGTAGCCCATAGCAACAGGCCTAATGGCTTCCCCGTGTTTAGGCTGTGTGGATTCCTCATTCTTGGAGCAAGGAATGCTGACCAGTGCAGCATGGGCAACAACTACTTGAAAGGAGGATGGAGAGACTCGGAGGTGTCTTTTCCCAAGTAATGAGTGCTAGGACAAGAAAATAATGGCTTCAAGCTGTGCCAGGGGAGCTTTAGACTGGATGTTAGGGAGGTGGTGGAATCACTGTCCCTGGAAGTGTTCACAAACCGTGTAGATGAGGCCCTCAGTGGCACGATTTAGTGGTGGTCTTGGCAGTGCTGGGGTAGAGGTTGGACTCGAATGATCTTAAAGGTCTTTTCCAGCCTCACTGTTACTGTGATTTTATGGGCACAGCCAGGTGGCTCTGCAAGGGCAAGTCATGGGCAGCAGAACCTCAAGAGCTTTGCTGTGCTCAACCTGGCTGTGCTGAAAGGCAGCTTGGCTACATTGGTAGTGTGCTTCCAGTTTTAAGGTGACAGTGAAGTAATACTTGAGTTCGCTTTGGCTTGGAGCAGTTTGGATCCCTAGGTAGTGCTACATCATGTTTCTGAGCATAGGTTAGCCATGGGAACAGCAGAGCTATGTGAGCTTGTTGGTGTGCAGTCCTGTGTCTGAGCAGCCAAGCTGTGCTCTCCATGGCATGGTTAAATCACAGCCTGGGTTAGCTGTTGGGAAATAACTGTAATCTTGAACTTGAACCAGCTCTTGTGAATTATCTTGTTTATATGATGAAAGGGAAGGGGATCGCATGTCTTTAGATGACATGGAGCACATTTATTCCTGTTGCATAATAATAACAAACCTTGAAACACAAGGGAGGATAGATGCTTGCAAGCTTCATTCGTTTTTTTTTTTACTTGGGGGGGGGGGGTGTGTTAGGTTTAATTCACTGTTACTTTTTGTAATTATTACTATTTTTAGTTAAAATTCGACTTTTCTGAGTGCAGAGGAATTTGAAAAGATCAGGTAGAATTCACCTTAATTTCTTGCCAAGAGAAATGAGGAAATGTGTAGCCCCAAAATACCAATAGAAACTCGCAATATCTGACGTTTTAATCCACTGTAGTTTATTTCATTTATGGCCTGTCACTTCTGGTTACCTGCTGCCATGTGCAAGGCACCTAGAAGGGTGATGGGAGTGTCTTGTAACCCCCTGCAGGCAAAATGAGCTAGACAGGCTTCCTAATGTAAATTGGTTTTCTGAGCTAACTTGCCTGAGTTTTTGCCTGAATGATAAGGTAACACTTTCATGATCTGCTGACTCTGTAGAAGAGATGGTAGCACCCTGGCAGAGAGGCAGATGGCAAGCTGAGGTGGTTGAAGTAGCCTTTTATTTCCACGTAACTTTGAATAAGACGTACACCTTTCACTTCAGCATTTTTAGTACAAGGGCTGTTCTTACATTTTGTTTTACAGCAGGTTTATTACCAGGCTAAATACCTAGCTAAAGCATGTTTTATAGTAGTTTAACCCAGACTACATTCTTACCAGTGCCTGTTCTACCCACTGATTAGCCTCTGCTCATTGGAGGTGAGGGAGTAGGACAAGACACATTTGGGGTCCTTCTGGGAACATGTATCTTTTAATTTTGACGATTAGGATAGTAGGAGGTATGATTCTGGAAGCGTTCTCTTTTTGGTTGTGTGTATAATCTGCTGTGTCCATAGCTGAGGTTTCAAATATGTTATTTATGTTGTGGTGACTAATGTAAAATCCATGCCTAACCTGCTGCGGA